GAGTCAAACTCCTCCCATACAACCGTCTCAAGACCTGCTTCCGTCTCCTCCCCCTGGGCCAACCAGTCAGAGTCCAAGCCTTCCCGGATCCGCGCGACTTTGTCATGCAGATATTGCGCAAAGTCCTCGGCCCTCCCCTCCAGGGGATCCCCCCCTCCCCTCAATTGGAGGAGAGAGCGGGTCACCCTGAAGAGGGCGGTCGGGCGGTTATCTGATGACGCGATGAGCGTCCTAGCTTGCCACTAAAAAAGTAGTTGTGTATGAACCTTAGATGAATAAAGTTTTGCTGTTGCTGGGATGTACTGTGCTGCTTTCATGAAGAAAAAAAAATTGAATTGCAGCCACTGTTTTCTAGCATTTTGTATCACATAATGTTAGTGTGTCTTGCATTTGGTGTAGCTATGAAAAACCATGCACAAATATTTAAAGGATTTCACTTGTTTTGATATTCTGGTTATTTATCCTGCAGGTGTATAGTTAATATCAAATTAATATCTGTTAAGTTTTAAATGAAGCAAGAAAAGTCCTTCCAGATCAGATCAAAAGTTCATTTAGTTTGGGAACTTGGTTCCACTTGTGCCAGCCAGATATTTTCCAAAGTCCCATAGCACACTGCTTTATCCATTTTATTGCTAGAATTTTCTTAGTATAAGCCCTGAAATTTATCTCAGAATCTACGAGAAAACAAGCAAAAATATCTTAAATCAGCATTGTCTTCTATCTGCTGCTTTACAATTTGGCTAGAAGAAAAATAATGGTTGACTTATTTTCAGTGTTTCAGTGTTCACATATGTTATGCCTCCTTGATTAAGGTATTATCTTTTTTGGATATCTAGTTCAGCCTAGTTAGTGACAAATGATTTCCTGTAATGGATGAAAATTGAGGGTAGTTATGGTGGGCAGGCAGTTTGCTCTAACAAGCAAGAATAATGCAAAGGATTACATGTTGTTTTATCCACCATTTTAAAGATGGTACAGTATATATCTAGCTCTCCAGAGTATTTACCCAGAATTAAAGAAATTAGAAGATATGGATTGCAAATCATAGACTGACTACCACCTGCTTTAACAATAGTTAAGCATTATTTGAATTCTAAAGCTACTAGTAGGAAAGTTTGATGCCTAATTTAAGATTTCAGTAATGGATTTGTCTCTCTTTCCAGTCCTTTTTGAGGAAAGATTGATTAGCTCTAATTGCCATTGTTGTCAACATGGTGTTTAATGGTTCTTTATGATTGAAAAATGACTTGCATTCTGTTCTGGGAAATCATCTGTCTAAGTTGTTTGTGTACATCTAATTAAGATTATCTCAGAGATAGGAAGCCTTTCAGGTTGATGAGCACATTTGGGGTTTTGAAAGTATGTTGGGAGTGCTCGCACACAAGGCTGTCGTGGGGGAAGCTTGTGTAATTAAAAAAAAATCATTGCTGTGGTGGAAATGGCAAGTCACAAAACATCAATATCAATTTGGTTAATCATCAAAGTTTACATAAAGATTTATTAAGCAGAATGAGGTTATTGCCAATTATTAGAAATCAGATGAAAATATTACAGTAGTGGCAATGCTTACCCTGCAGAAAGCAATATTTATATTGCAGAATGATTTCACATTGATGAATTCAGGGAGTTACACTTCATGGAGTATATAAAAGTTCAAAAGTGAGGAAAAGTATAAGGCATAGTGATAAAAGCTGCAAAATTAGAAACATTTAAAAGTTATGTAGATTTTTCCATACTCTAATTGACACTCTTTTTGCATGTGCAAAATGGTTGACTTATTTTCAGTGTTTCAGTGTTCACATATGTTATGCCTCCTTGATTAAGGTATTATCTTTTTTGGATATCTAGTTCAGCCTAGTTAGTGACAAATGATTTCCTGTAATGGATGAAAATTGAGGGTAGTTATGGTGGGCAGGCAGTTTGCTCTAACAAGCAAGAATAATGCAAAAGAGGTCTAATGAAATAAAAGGTAGTATTTCTAATATTTTTTTTAAAAAAATATTCTAATTTGAAATAATAAAAGACAGGAGATTAGCAATCTGTGGTAGTGGTGATGATGGTGATGATGATATTTTATCCCAACTTTTATATGCTATATATCAGGGCTTTTCAACCAGTGGTACGGGTACCACCTATGGTACATTGGCACCTGGCAGGTGGTACGCGACCATCCTAGAAAAGTGCTAGTGGGGGAGGGGAATAAGCTGAACCAGTGCCAGCACCGCACAAGCCTGAGCAAGAGATGGCTGGAGCTGCAGGGCTGTCAGGGCTCAGCGGAAGCGCCAGGATCAACACCAGGCTCCAGCTGTAGCTCGGCGCTGACCTGGTGCTTCTGCTGAGCCCTGAAGAAACACCAATCAGCTGGAAAGCAGCACTGATCCTGGCGCTTCCGCTGAGCCCAGAAGAAGCGCCGATCAGCTGGAATGTTGCAGCATCTCCAGGGTCTTGTGATTTACATTCAGATGCTTGGCAACTGATTCATATTTATGACCGTCAGTGTCCCAAGGTCATGTGAAGTGACCAAAACTTGCTGCAACCACCCAGCAGACGGGGGGAATAAAAACCAAACACCCCCCACCCCACCCCCGCTGCCAATCCTCAACAGAAATGCTCACAACAATGAAAACCTCGGACAGGAGGAAGAGCACGGCCGGGCGGGCAGGCAGGTGTCTTGCTCAGCTGTGCCTTGGGGGGCACTTTTTTCAGTGCCATTGTAACTTCGAACAGTCACTAAGCGAACTGTTGTAAGTCGAGGACTACCTGTACTTTATCACTTTTTCCCTTTTTTGGGGGGGTCATCAAGTTTTTGACACCTTGCTAGGCAACTGGTGGTACTCGGATGTTGCCATATCCTAAAAGTGGTACAATGGGTGAAAAGGTTGAAAAGCCCTGCTATATATAACTCAAGGGGCAAACTTACCTAATACTCCTGCCTATTTCCCCCACAACAACTATCCTGTGATGTGGGTTGGGCTGAGAGAGCCTGACTGGCCCAAGATCACCCAAATGGCTTTGTGCCTAAGGTAAGCCTAGAATTCAGAGTCTCCTGGTTTCTAGACCAGAACCTTAACAAATACACCAAGCTGGCTCTCTGATACTCAGTTGTGACACAAGAAAAAAAGTGTTTATACAATTTTTGAATTTTTTTCAGCATATAGAATATACTCAAAGCAGCTTTTATAAAAAAAAATCTTTAAAAATAATAGCAAAAATTGGTTTTTTAAATTTTTTAATGCTTCTGTGTTCTTTAAGATGTAAAGTTATTGCTTCAACCAAAATTGTATATTCCAAAGAGAATGGAATAGTTCAATTAATGGCAAAATATGGATTTGTTGGATGATGGAAAAATAAAATGGGTACTTTTTTTTGGTCACAGTTGAAAATCTCAGTTCTAGCCAGTGAAACAGGTGGAACCAAGGCCAAATCAGCATAGTCTATTGATTATTTTATCTGTTACTGCTTCATAAAACCATGTCTTCTTGTCCAATTCAGAGCAAACCCGCCCATATACAGAGACCAGGATCTGAACTTTGATTTCACGCTCAGCAAGTAGAGGCAGCAACAAACAGAGTGTTTGTGCAGTCACAAGCACATCTCCGCAAAACTCCAAATGCACATAAGCTTGCCTGCAAATAAATGGAAAAATATGAGTTGATTTCAGAGCGTGGTCAGATTTCAGAGTTTCTGGAAGCAAAAAGCACATGAAATCCAAATAAAAACAGTTGTTCCCAAATATTTATTGCCAGATAGCAGTGGCTTTTATGTAGAACAGTGGTGGCGAACCTATGGCATGGGTGCCAGAGGCGGCACTCAGAGCCCTTTCTGTGGGCACGTGGCCGTCGCCCCAGTCCTAGGCCTTCAGCTGGGTTTTATAAAACCTTTTCACCACCGTGTGCAAAAAAAAAAAGGTTCAATCAATCAGTCAATTTCAACCTCTGGGGGAAAAAAAAGATCTTGCAAAGTTGGAATTCATTGATTGAACTTTTTAGTCCCACCCAGTCTGCCGTTACCACCGCAGCCACGTCCACCCAATGGGCCACACCCACCCAGCACCTGACGATGCATAAATGGGTTTTGGGTTGCAGTTTGGGCACTCGGTCTCTAAAAGGTTCGCCATCACTGATGTAGAACGTCTTCTGGGTGAAAGGATGGGAAGCAGGTAGAACATCTTTGGTCTGGTCAGCACATAGGGACTGGACAATTACCCTGGATCAGGTTCTTCATCATCGGACTCTAAGAGCAACTACTCTGAATGATTGCAGAGTCAGTGTCGGGTGCTTCATTATTCATTCCCGAGGAGACACTCACCTGGTACCTCCAAAGCAGGCTGCTCAGTATCAGAATCTGTCAATCAAGCTGACTGTGATATTCCTGGCAGAGAAAACTTTAATCTCTTCTAATTATGGAACATAAATAAAGCCAAACCCTTTTTAATTAGTTGTCTTTGGAGAAATCAAAGTACCACTCCGTTCCCATATTTATTGTTAACCCTAGCTGTATCTCAATATGGCCTGGTGTAGTAGAAAATGAAACTGTACAAATTATTTGCATACATATTTTTTTTTCCTTTTCTGAAATTGATGTGCACTACATTTTTCCCTTTGTGTATACACAGGTGGCACAGGGGTATTGTGGTGGCTGTATGTTAAAATGTGGAAGTCTCCCATTGACACACTTACTGTTGAACAGCTTCAAATAGCCAAAGACAATCGTCAGGCCCTCCTGATTTATGCCATTGCAGCTACCATCTTCACAGTGAGTATTTGATGGCCGTCAAATTAGGTCATGTGAAAAAGGCCTGTGTAAGGGAGGGTAAAATGTATATGTGTGCCTTCAGTTCAGTCTTGGCTCCTGGTGACTGCCTGAACAAGTCCCTGCAGTTTTCTTGGCAAGCTTTTTGGAACTGGTTTGCCCATACCTGCTTTTCTAGGGCTGAGAGAAAGTGACTAGCCCAAAGTCACCCTGGCTGGCTTAGATGCCTAAGGTACGACTAGAACAGTGGTTCTCAACCTGTGGGTCGGGACCCCATTTGGGGTCGATCGACCATTTCATGGGGGTCGCCAAGCAAGGCTGTCCGCCATTTTTTTTGTCCGCCATTTTTTTTGTCCGCCTTTTTCCCCCCTTTTCCAGTGGGTGCCTTACCTCCCTTGGGCTGGGCCAGCTGGTGGTCGGCCTGCTCCGTCTCTGCCGCTTGCCAGCTACGCCTCGGCTGGTGCAGGGGGCGGAACCACGCATGTGCGGTGCTCCCGGGCAGGGAAAGTCCTCGACTTACGACCGGTTGGGTAGTCCTCGACTTACAACCGGCATAGTCCTCGACTTACGACCGGTTTAGTCCTCGACTTACGACCGGTTTAGTCCTCGACTTATGACCGGTTTAGTCCTTGACTTACGACCGGTTGGGGTCGCGGCATTAAAAAGGTTGAGAACCACTGGACTAGAAGTCACTGTCTCCTGGCTTCTACCCTAATGGCTTAATCACTACACCAAACTGGCTCTCTTATCAGGGAAAGTGGGTAATCAAGTATACACCTTTGGGGTTGATTTATTATAAATAAGTACAAAAAAAGAACTGCAAAAGAAAGCATTCTGATAGATGGATGTGCAGCTTACTGTTCATATATAATCAAGAAATAATATTTCCTTACACTAATATAAAAAAATGCTTTGAGACCAACTGTTATTAGTAGGTGGCTACTGGAATTAAGTTTACTGCATATTATTTTGTGTTGACATTTTTAATTGTGTAATTAAATTAAAATTTTGGAGTTCTGAGTAGGAGATATTTTACCTTATTTCAATAGAGACATTTGCCTAAAGTTTATTATGGAATCTCTTTCCTTTTTCAGGTTATCTTACTATTAATAATGTTATTTATGCGCAAAAGAGTAGCTCTCACCATTGCCTTGTTCCACGTGGCTGGCAAGGTTTTCATTCACCTGCCACTGCTTGTCTTCCAGCCATTTTGGACTTTTTTTGCCCTCATCCTCTTCTGGATATATTGGATTATGATCTTGCTGTTCCTAGGTATCACTGGTATGTGCTGTGAAGTTTAAGACTTTTTGTTTATTTCTTTGTTTGCAATTCCAGAAAAATATTTTGTTCTTATCTTTATATTGGGTCAAATTAAATCTAAGAGCCTCCTTTGAAATACATGACATGTTTTGTTTCAATTACCTCACCACTGATTGACCAGTGATTGCACAGTATACGTACAGATGCAATCAAAAGTATTAGCACCTTTCCATTTTTTTCCGTAGAGAATTCCAATTTGCCATGTGATAGGTTGAACCTGACACCAGAAGGCTCAAACACATATCATCACTCAGTCTTACTAGGACTGAGTTTGAGATTTTCCTCCCCATCCAAATCATTATAGATGGCCCTGACTTAGGAGCATAATTGAGACTGGAATTGCAGTCATAAGTCGTTGTAGTCATAAGTCAAGGCATCACATGATTGGATCCTAGTTTTTGGTATTTTTTGCATCAGTCATTAAGCAACTACTGTGGTCACTAAGCAAATCCATTTTCCCCAATGGGCGTTTTTTTTGTCGTAAACCAGAAGTAAACACTGAAAACCCACAAAAAAGGTCACAAATCACAGTCATGTGACCATAGGATGCTGCAAATGACCATGAAGGTGAGCCAGTTGCCAAGCATTCAAATGACAACACATGAACATGGGGTGGGTGTGGAGATGTAGCTGCTGTAATGTTGAAAGTGCTTTGTAAACAGCCCTAGGGAGGTCCATAGTAACTTTGAATGGCTATTAAGTGTCCGGTTGTATATCAAGGACTAACTATGGAGTCTTCAGACATTGGGACTTGAGTGCAACAGCATTGCTTGGCCAAACCAGGAACCAAATGGTAAGAGAGAGCCATAAAGTCCTGGATGCCCTATTAGTGGAATTTTTCAAGAAAATATTGGATAGTCGTTGTTTAGGGTGATATGAGGATTTCTGCACTAGGCAATAGTTTGGATTAGAAGATTCCCATGTTCCTTCCACCTAACTTTTATATTTTATTTGTACTATTTTTACTAAAATATTTTGCCAAAGGCAGCTTCTATATTATTATTTTATTAAATCCCCAAAACAAGCGTAATTGTGACTCTTGTATGCAGATATTAAAAGGGCAGCTTTCTCATAGAATTAATGTTTTAAAGCCTTCCTGCCTTCCTTTCCTTCCAGGTAGTCCTGTTCAAAATGAGCAGGGCCTTGTAGAGTTCCGAGTTACAGGCCCACTGAAGTACATGTGGTGGTACCACGTTGTGGGTTTAGTTTGGATCAGTGAATTTATTCTTGCCTGTCAGCAGATGACTGTAGCAGGAGCTGTTGTGACATATTATTTTACAAGGTGAGTGAGGTCTGGGCAATCAAATCATGAGCGATCCAACTTCCAAAAGTTGATCCAATTGAATCATGAATGATCCAACTTCCTAAAGTGATCCAAATGTCAAAAGTAACTTTATTAACTGAAATCTTCTAATCAGTAGTAGAATCTGTCAGTGATTCAGAAGCTCCATTCTTTGTGAGGTTTAGATTATTTGTAGTTTATTTCCTGCCTGGATAAGAAACCAATTGAAATAGTCTCTACTGTGCAGAATAATGGATTTCTGAACTTGAGGTACTGATGGCAGTCTTGACAACTGTCAAATGTCTGTTTACCCTATGCAATGGAGAGAAGTGGAGCCCTTGATATGAATGCTCTTCTGATCCTCACCTAAACTGAGAGCAATTAAGTCAGGGGTGTCAAACTGCTGGCCCGTGGGCCAGATGCATCATAGCGAAACCACGCCCACCCCATTGCCGGCAATGGCAAAAAAGTCACGATATGTCGTGATACATCACATGATATTGCAAGTTTGACACCCCTGAATTAAGTTAACAGAAAGGTGACTAGATCTCAGAGATGCAAGCTCAGTGTGAACTTTCATCCAGTCAAGTATGATGGAAGCTCAGCCTCCAAATTTTTTTACTTCTCTTTGGAGCTATTTTTTTAAAAATCTGACCTAGAAAAAGATGTATGAAATTCTTGCTTGTAAGTCAGTTCAAATATAAAAACATATACTGTATATTTTTCAAAAATTGATGCATTTATTTGTAATCAGTGCAGCTTTTCTGTCTTCTTTGCTAAAGTGATCATTGCTTCTGTTTCTCAAATCAAATCCCTTTCAGTACTTTGTTGCCAAACATTTTCAGTCATTTTGCTGGCCCAAGCCACTGCCTATTTTTAAGCAGTGATCAGGACCACTCAATTTCACCACCACTGTACTTAGGTGATATAATTGGTTTTCTTAATACTTTATTTTTCATTTTTTTTGTAAGAAAGGGATTAGTACAACATCACTCCACCCCTGACAAAAGCAACATTTACAGATTTGGGGCCCTACAGAATTTAGACTTGGAGCTCTTCACATTGCCTATAAATGCAGTACACTCTCACACTTTCTAATTTTTATATTTTTCCCCACAGAGAAAAACGGAATTTGCCATTCACGCCAATTCTGGCATCTGTCAATCGCTTGATCTGTTACCACCTTGGAACTGTGGCTAAAGGTTCTTTCATTATTACCTTAGTGAAGATTCCAAGAATGATTCTCATGTATATTCATTCCCAAGTCAAAGGAAAAGTAAGGGGAAACTAAGTTTGCTATATAATCAAAAATTATTAAAACTAACAGGAAAAAAGTATGAAAAATGCTGTGGTAGATCAGAACAGAGACCCATGTAATCAGTTCAGTTCATGTGCTATGAAGTGGGAATGGGATATGGACCAGTCGTACCTCCCATATGTGTAAAATAAGTCCTATCAGATAAAGAAAAGCATAAGCAGCTTTTTGGAGACAGTGCATTTGCAGATGACACCAAGCTGGCAAGAATAGTCAACACTCCAGAAGATAAGCTTAAGATACAGAAGGATCTTGACAGACTTGAACATTGGGTCCTAGCTAACAAAATGAAATTCAACGGTGAAAAAATGAGGTTCTACATTTAGGCAAGAAAAACCAAATTCACAGGTATAGTATAGGTGGTACCTGGCTCAATATGGTAGTAGTAACTGTGAGAGGATTCTTGGAGTCCTTGTGAGCAACCACTTACTAGTAAATGTGAGCCAGCAGGATTCTGCAGCTACCAAAAAAGCCAATGCATTAAAAGAGGGATAGACTCAAGATCACATGAAGCGTTAATACCACTTTATAATGCCTTAGTAAGACATACTTGGAATACTGCATTCAGTTTTGGTCATCACGATATAAAAAAGATGTTGAGATTCTAGAAAGAGCGGAGAGAAGAGCAACAAAGATGATCAGAGGACTGTAGGCTAAAACATGAAGAATGGTTGCAGGAATTGGGTATGTCTAGTTTAATAAAAAGAAGGACTAGGGGTAATATGACAGTAGGGTTCCAATATCTAAAGGCTGCCACAAAGAAGAGAGAGTCAATCTATTTTCCAAAGCACCTGAAGGCAGGACAAGAAGTAACGGATTGAAACTAATCAAGGAGAGAAGCAGCCTAGAACGAAGGAGAAATTTCCTGACAGAACAATTAATCAGTGGAATGACTTGCCTCCGGGGTGCTCCAATACTGGAGGTTTTTAAGAAGAGATTGGACAATCATTTGTCTGAAATGGTATAGGGTTTCCTGCCTGAGCAAGGAGTTGGACTAGAAGACCTCCAAGGTCCCTTCCAACTCTTATTACGTTATTTTGGCCACCTTATGCTACCTTATTCTCCTGCCACTCCTCACTGACCTTTGTCACTTTCTTCCTCCCACCATTGACAAAGCCTTCTCCATCTTCTTTCTTCCCCTTCACAAGGCCTTCCTGAAGCCTTGCACAGCTTCAGAATGAAGGCCTTGTGTAGGCAGCAGCTGCTCTGTGACGGGCCAGGCCAGGCACATCTTAATAGTAGCAGGAAGGGGAAGATGGGAATGGGTCAGCTGGGATAGTAGAGGTAGGGTGGTCAAAAGGGCAGAAATGCTGGGAGACGGGTGGGGAAGATGAAGCAGGGGTGAGCCCAGTAGAGCAGGATTGGCATTAGGTCCAGGCCTAACGACAGCAATCAGGACTACTGACACTGCCATTGTAAGTGATGGAATCATGTGATATTTTTTATTAACAATTACGTTGCTAACAATGGAAATTCCGGTCCTAATTAGGGTCACTAAGTGAAGACTATCTGTTCAGCAATTCTGTTTATAAATTGTGAAAGATGTTTGGATATTACCAACTTCTGAACAGTATACGAGGTAGATTCTTATGACCTAATCTGATGTTAAGCTATAGCCATTTCATGGTTAGCAGCCATAACTTAGATCATCATTGCAATAATGGAAATGGTCGTGTGCCAGCAGTCCCCACTGCAACCAAGTTCACCCAGAGATTTCTCCCTATAAGTATATAAACAGATCAAGTTGAATGGAACCAAAAAGCAGGTGTCTTGCATATTTGATTTGGCTTTATATAACATAGCTATAATTAATAATTATTAACATTAGGCTTTGTTTACAAGAAAGTATTATGTAAACTGAATCCTATATTTCAAACTTTTCATCTAAAAAAGCATTCCGTGCTCTATTACAATGCAACTTCTTTCTTTTTCCTGATCATTGATATTTATATTATTACTGTAGGAAAATGTCTGTGCTCGATGTATTTTAAAAGCCTGCATTTGCTGCCTTTGGTGTGTAGAAAAGTGCCTGACTTACTTAAATCAGGTAAGATCATATTTAAAACAGAGGATGAAATAATTATCCCAGTAACTGTGCACTAAAGGCATAAGTGCCTTTGCTGAAATTAAAATACAAGCGGTTCCTTGGTAGAAAATGACAACAAACATGTTTTAGATGGCGCTGTAATAAAATGTGGTAGCAATAGCACTTAGACTTATATATTGCTTCATAATGCTTTACAGCCCTCTCTGAGCAGTTTACAGAGTCAGCATATTGCCCCCAACAACCTGGGTCCTCATTTACCAACCTTGGAAGGATGAAAGGCTGAGTCAACCTCAAAATTGAATTCCTGGCAGTGAGCAGTGAGTTAGCCTGCAATACTGCATTCTAACCACTGCGTTTGAATGCTGAAAGAAATTTGTGTAGCGATTGAATGGGTTGCAGAATGAACTTGTTACACAAAGAGTAATTTTTTTTTCATATTTAGATATCATTTTAAAAAGCAAAGGATTATAATTATAATCGCATGTCGTTGAAGGATGTCTTGACTGAATTACATCAAACCCTTTTTTTATATCCTTTGATTGCCATAATATAATTTTACACTTTTTGCTCTAACCTTATGGTATTTGCCAGTTTTATCCAAATGTTGGTATAATGAATTAGTTATATAATTTGTTACTTAGATTTATTCAACTCAAATGTCCTGATTTTTTTCCAAAAACTGCATTCTTAAATAGAAAAATAAAGTTCAAAGCAATATGAAAATATTAGACTACATTCTCCTATGCTTTAGTATTTTAAAATTATTAATATCCTTCCCTCCCTTCGTAGTGTACAACTACATCTTTAAAAAAAAATGCTTGCAGAAACTAACCATTTTTATGCAAGAAATTGTTAACCGAAAAAAAATCTTTTTTGATTAATCCCCAAAAGAATTAGTATAGGCATTACATTAATTTATGGTTTATCCAGATATAAACAGGTTTAGCCATATCCCATATCCTTGCTGTCTGCTTTTGTCTCTTGCTGCCACTTGCACAGTACTTCAAATTATGGTTTCTGAAGTGAACTTGTTTACGTTGACATACTTAACGCTAAGTACATTGGAAGTGCATCAGCTTGGCTGTTCATATCTTGATCAGATTCATATAAATCATCTTCATTCTGATAATGACTCAGGGGTGAGAGATATTTGTCAATGTAATGTCGTAAAGATTTTAGACAGAAAGAGTTTAATTTGAGTTACAATTTGACCAATACAACCATGTCTTTCTTGCCCAGAATGCATATACAGCCACAGCTATCAACAGTACCAATTTCTGCACTTCAGCAAAGGATGCCTTTGTGATACTAGTGGAGAATGCTTTGCGAGTGGCTGCTATAAACACAGTGGGAGACTTCATGCTCTTTCTTGGAAAGGTAGGATTGAGTGGGAAAAAAATGTCAACAACCCTCTCCAAGGAGCCTTCTTTATCTGAACCCAAAGCAATATGAATGCTGTCATTTTAAAAACTAAATCATTAAAATTGCCTAGATGCTGAATTTTAAATCTGTACCAAGAATGGTTGGATGATATATGAGGATTCTGGTTCTGATACCTGTTGGTATCCAGTGTGCTGTGCAGAGTAACATTGCTTCTTCAAGCTGTCTTCACATGGAAAAGAGGGGTGCTCGGCCTTGATGCCATCAGCCAAAATTGTTGAGGTGGTTGCTTTGTGGAAATGGTTTCAGCACATGCATTCAGAGAAAACAAAGGCCAGTGAGTTGTCCAGATTGATCTCAGTCAGTGGCTCCAAAGCAGAGTCTGATTCCTGGACAGTGTGAAATCTGGATTGAAATGAAGTACCTTTTGCGTCTTTATAATGGCCTGGTAATTAGTATATACATAATGTTTACTTATCTGTGTTGCATAAAGTGCTGCTGTACCTGCTTCTGCTCTCGGGAGCAGTTAAAACCATCTCTCACAGTGCATTTCAGCAGGATTTTTCTATCAATGTTCTGCAGACCTTGGTGGGGTTCTGTGAGAAGAGAATAATAACCACAAAATTCACTAGAAGAGAGACAATTTTTTATCTAGAACTACTGCCTTTTTTTAAAAAAAAAAAAGTAACAGATTCTATGCTCTGAAAAACCTCTGCACTACATTATCCCATTTATACACCCAAAACATAGCTTCTATTTAAATGAAGCAATATAAACAAATGTATGCAGCTGTTAAAAAGTATATCCACAGCAACAAAGACAGTGGTGGTATTCAAATACCTGAACAACCGGTTCTCTTATTCGATGCAGGCCTGGGCCTCCGAGGCCTAGAACGGAGTTCTGGAAGTGGCATCCACGCACTTCCGGTGGGCCATTCTAGGCCTGGGAGGCTTCCTCCAGGCCTCCGAGGCCTAGACTGGACTTCCGAAAGTGGCATCACACTTCCGGCGGGCTGTTCTAAGCCTGGGAGGCCGCCTCCAGGCCTCCGAGGCCTAGACTGGACTTCTGGAAGACAGCCGGTTCTCTGAATGCAGCAACCAGTGTGAACCGGCTGAATCCCATCACTGAACAAAGACATTCCCCTCCCCAAAGGGGGGGAACACTGTATGGGCAAGATTCAGTTAACTGGTCAAATGAATTCAGCACTTGACAACACTGGTGCCTGTGCTATTCATTGTGGTTTTATATTTTGCATTCGTTTTTAATCAAAGACCTGAAGATGAGTGAATATTCTCATTTCAAATAGGGAGAAGCTGACCAAGGTGTGTGTGGTAATGCTGATGTTACAGGGAGATGTGAAAAGGAGCTGAAATTTGCATATGCGCTTGAATGCTAAAGATTTGGGCCCTTTCCCACCATATTTCTAAAATTCCAGTTGGATTGGTCATGCTCCTAATAATTGTCTCTATATAATTAGAGAACATGATTTGATTGCACATTTACAAAATGTTCCTTTAACTGAAAAGCTTTAAGTACCTGCATGGTCAAATAAATACATCTCAAACCTTCATAAAGTATTGAAGTCATAGTTATGAAGTCGTTTCTGCTCATTATAATTAAGGAATTCATTCATTACACTTCCAAGTGGAGGCTTTGTAATCCCACTAATATACTCGGTAGCGAGATAATCATTAATATACTGCTCACAAAAATAAAGGGAACATTTTACCATGGAACTGAAGGGGTTTGCGCTCCCTTTATTTTTTTGAGCAGTATATATGAAAGTTATATAAGTTGAGGTAATAAATATAATAAGATAAAATATGCCTACCATAATGTGCATTGGGGTATTAATTTAGAATTAGGGCAAAGAAAGGGCAGGGAAGTTACATATTTCAGATGGCTGAAGCCAATGCAGTCCGAGGCGGCATTAACAGAGGGATACAATCAAGATCACATGACATGTTAGTACCACTTTATAATGCCTGAAGTAACACCTTATTTGGAATACTGCATCCAGTTTTAGTCGTCAAAACATAAAAAAGATATTGAGAGTCTAGAAAGAGTGCAGAGAAGAGCAACAAAAATGTTCAGGGGACTGGAGCTAAAACATATGAAGAACAGTTGCAGGAACTGGGTATGTCTAGTTTAATAAAAAGAAGGACTAGGGGTGACATGATAGCAGTATTCCAATATCTAAGGGGCTGCCACAAAGAAGAGAGAGTCAACCTATTTTCCAAAGCACCTGAAGACAGGACAAGAAGCAATGGATGGAAACTAATCAAGGAAAGAACCAACCTAGAACTAAGGAGAAATTTCCTGACAATTAGAACAATTAATCAGTGGAACAACTTCCCTCCAGAAGTTGTGAGTGCTCCAACATTAGAGGTTTTTAAGAAGAGATTGGACAACCATTTGTCTGAAATGTTATAGGGTTTCCTGCTTTTGGACTAGAAGACCTCCAAGGTCCCTTCCAACTCTTGTTATTCTGTTATTCTGCCTACTGGAACTAGCAATATTGATTAGAAATACTGAAACTCTTCTTTAATTCCAGTTAACCACTGTAGCCACTGTAGCAGTATCAAATCAGTGCATCTCTGGTTTTGTTTGCTTAAGCCAATGTTCACATTGCTGTAGGATGCAAAGATCTATTTTTATACGTATTTTTCATAAACAGCATGAGTCACACTTTGAAAATGCATTTGAAAATCCTTTTTTTAAGGCTTGCATTTCTTGGATAGTGAAAAAAATATTGAAACTGATCATATTACTTTTCTAAAACATACAAATATAGAATTAAGTTAACTTTCCATTTTCAAACAATTTGGGAATTGGTCTGGCTCTAGTATCTCCAGAGGATACTTCAGAGAATAGTGCAGTAGTTAACTAAACTCTCTCACACACACATTTTAAATTGTCACAGTGTGTTTTCTTGCTGTTATAGCATTCAAGTCTTCAGGTCAACGTTAGTTGGCCTTTAGTGCTCCTCAATTTCAATTTGAGAGTATTTTATTTTATTTTTTTAAAAATTGCATACTACAATTGTTTGGAAAAAAATATAATGAACCTCTGTACTGCAAATTTTAAGAAAAATAATTGCTTCCCAAGAAAATTGCCATCTGGGGGTGCGTATGATATATAGTTAGCACTAATGACTAGGAAAGAGCCATTATTTTATTACAAGTAGAGTTTGGACTAAATAATTAATACATATAGGAGAACTGAGCCTTTGCAAATGATTTTAGTTTCACCCCCAGTCCTTATCCAATCTGATGCCTTGCTATGTTGGCTAGAAATGCTGGAAGTTATAACCCAATTTATTTGGATACTTCTGTTTAGTAAGACTGAATTAATACATATTTTTAATTCCGTCCCTTAAAACTGATATTGCCCACCATGGATTCTTCTTTGATAGTACAGATACGTTAGTTTCTCTAGCTCAACTGCATCTGAAATATAGCTGAATAATATCTAATATATAATAATTAGGTTGCAAACATTTCATCTCCGGGCTTGGTAATTAGATTACAAACGTTTCTTCTCCATTCGGGGGGGACATCTTCAGTGCGGTTTGAATTGTGTTCGGTTTGTTGAAAAGGACACAAGTTCTATCTAACCAGGACCACAGTTTATAACCCAAGCAAAGTCCAGGGGAGAAAGAGAATTCCTCGAGGCCTGGTTCTCCACCAACCAATCAATGAACAGACACATTGACATCGACCCCGCCTACCAACCATTGAGAGCGAGAGAGCTGCTTCAACTGAAACACCAGAAGCGACATTCCAAATTCAAAGCGCACTGATGTCTCCCCGAACGGAGCCAAAATGTTTGCAACCTAAATTACCAAGCCCGGAGATCAAACCAACAGCCCAGTTACCAACCCAAACTAGTATTCAAATACATCATATATATACATACATACATACGTACGTACGTACATTCATACATACATACATACATACATATATATATACCTGTATGTATGTATGTATGTATGTATATATATGTATATGACAAACTGTCCAGTAAGGCAGAATTAAGAATCAGTACAACTAAATATAGTACTGACATGTTAGTTTCTCTAGCTGAACTATAGCTTACCATAGCTGAATATAACATAACATAACATAACATAACATAACATAACATAACATAACATAACATAACAATATAATGTTATAATATATAATTTTATAATATATTTATTTTATAATATAGTTATTGTATAATATAAATAGAAGACAAACTGTCCAGTAAGGCAGAATTAAGAATCAGTACAATTAAATATTTTACCTTTTGATTATCTTACAAAGAGGTAACATTTGTTCAGCTGTAAAGTTGAAAACACATTACTGTTGAACAATCTCCACTGGTATAATAAAAGTTCCTGATCAAAATAGTAATTAAAAAGTTAGCATAACATGTGCAAAAGAGAGGGAGAATGAATAAATACTTCATTATTAAAGTCCATTGTTATTTTAAAAATCAATTTAGGCAGAGACTTGACAGACTTTAGTAGTTCAGTTGGTCACGTAGAATCTGGAGGTGAGGTGACCTTTGGCAATCAACAGTGTCTTTGTTCTTGCTTTGTTCTTTCTCAACTCTTTGCTTTCTTGTCTCCTTAGGTCTTAATAGTGTGCAGCACAGGCTTGGCAGGGATCATGCTGCTGAATTACCAGCGGGACTACACAGTGTGGGTGCTGCCCCTTATCATTGTCTGCCTATTTGCATTCCTGGTTGCTCACTGTTTCCTGTCTATTTATGAAATGGTAGTGGATGTCCTTTTCTTGTGCTTTGCCATTGACACCAAGTATAATGATGGCAGCCCTGGAAAAGAATTCTACATGGATAAGGTCCTGATGGTAAGGTCCTTCTATATTACTGCACCCTCCGAAGTAGGAGGAATCATTAACGGCAAAAAATACTAGCACAGTGGTTGCACAATGTTGTTTTCCTTAGCAGCCCTGTTTTGAAATGTTTGCTAGTTTATTTGATGTACCTATTTGTTTTCATCCCGCACCATGTTAAAAGTTATTTGACAAGCTTCCAAAGATTTTTTTTTTTGATCTTTGTGATTGAATGAAAATAGCTTACATTCGCCCAGATATATCTTTTCCATGCTGCAGCTGCCTGCACTGCTGAATAAGATAACCAGTCTTCCAATTCATTTTTAAAATGTAAACTAAGAAATGCTGTAGGCTCTTCAACCTCAGCTAGAATTTTGGAGAAACCTATGGCTTTTCACTGGTTCTCTTTTGTGATATACATTACAAACTACTTGAGTTTTCAGACCACATAGAATCAGTGAAACATACATAGTGCACCTCCTCCTGTTTTCTTCTCAGAACAATGCTATGAGGTAGGTTGGGCTTGGAAGAGAGTGAAGTAGGATCTGATGCTACCGTACTTAACCACTACCGCACACTTCTCTCATTAAATATGTAATAAATAAAATAAATGTTAAAAAGTGGAAAGCATTAGGGAAAGTGCATCAGTTATAGGATTTGTTAAGAACATTAAGCCATAATTTGGCATTTCAAATGGCTTAACCTTTAACATGCGATCATTTACAAGGGTTCTTTTGGATAAATGTCAAGGATCCACTGACATTACTACTACACAGCAGCCAAAGGGAAGAGAGCGTCCAATAAGTGCATTAGCAGCCATTTGCCCAGACGACAAAGCTAACACTGGGAGGGAATTGAAGAGTGGAAAGTTTTAAGGGAGCAACAGCACAGTTTCCCAAGCAGCAGAGAATTTATTTTTTTTTTGTCCTGTCTGGGAGCTGGTGACTTACAAGTTTGGGGATGGTATAATGCAATTATCATAAGTGCCAGCTCTTCTTTAAAACCATGATAGAAAAGCATTTAGTATTTTAGGTTCCAGAAAATAATGCAGTGAATTTTCTCTGCGTTATTTATTTTTTAGGAATTTGTGGAGAACAGCAGGAAAGCATTGAAAGAAGCTGGCCGGGGGAGTGGACCTGAAGGCAAGGAGCTCAAACCAATGGTAGGTCCAAGAGAAGAAATCGCTGCTCTTTTCCAAGAATTTCATTTGTACTTCCTGTCCCTTTCTATTTTCACTGACTGTGCTTCCTCAGAAGAAGTGTTTGTCATTTGTGTCACTCAGAATGTTCTGCTTTTTCTGTTTGTGAGCTTGCCTATTACCTGGATGGCAGAGTTTTTGTCACAGCTGAGAACACCTCCCATAAAAGTAAGCTGAAAGGAACTGTATCTTTATTCTTCTCCTGTGTTTATGTCACCAAGGCTACTAGTAGTATTCACAGTATTCTAAGGGCTAAAAACGGGGAAAGTGCTTATTTTAACTATGGCAATAGAACTTAGACTTATACTGCTTCATAGTGCTTTACAGCCCTCTCTAAGTGGTTTACAGAGTCAGCTTATTGCCCCCAACAATCTGGGTCCTTGTTTTACCAACCTCGGAAGGATGGAAGGCTGAGTCAACTTTGAGCCCTTTAGGATCGAACTCCTGGCAGTGAGCAGTGAACTAGCCTGCAATACTGCATTCTAACTACTGTGCCACCAAGGCTCTTGAAATATCAGACCTACAATTAAAGTGCCTAGGTATTCTACCTCTGATATCTCTTCCACTGCTCTGTCCTGGGTTGCTAATGGAATTCTGCAAGAGCCTGCAGTCACGTCCAGGTCACATGACCCCCTCAAGATGGCAAACATTCACCAGATCTGTGATTTCCACTTGGCTGCAACTGATCCTATGATATGTTTGGTGGGAAAGCTCAGAGGTGAAAGAAAATGGTCCTATCTTAATTCACTGTTGTATTTTATTTCTGTTTGTATCAACAATCAGATTTATAGGTGTCTTTGAAGGGATGTTCTGCTTTGATGAAAGCTTGAACAAACTCTATTGTCAAAGTAATAATAATAATAATAATAATAATAATAATAATAATAATAATAATAATAATAATAATAATAATTTAATTTGTACCCCGCCCTTCTCCTCATAGGACTCAGGGCGGCTAACAGCCTCTTAAAAACCACAATACAATACAATAAATTGTAAATTGTATCACAGCTTTGTAAATTGTATCACAGCTTTGCCTCACTGCGGCAGTGGAGAGCATCTCTTTGAAACAAATAAAAGCAGTCTTAGCTAGACTTAATACTGTAAGCAATTCATTTAGGCTTCATTTTAAGTTACTATTTTCCCCTACCAGTAAGGAAATGGATACGGTAAAAAACTCCTTTCAACCTGCTAAAAATATCATTTTTCCTAGTTTTGCTTCTTATCCCCTCCCCATCTCCTTTCTTTACTATTGTTCTTCTATGCTTTATGACTAATGTATAAATATAAAGCCTTGGCTTCCTTGGTTTGAAACACTTCCTTGCTTATAAGTGAGTACCAATAACTCAAAGACAAGAGCAAGTTCACATTATCACTGTAATTTGTAGTCAGATTGAAATTAAAACATATGGGTACTTGCTTTTCTCTCTCCCTGAATCAGCACTCTGCTTTGGAGCCATTGAATTGGGTCAGAAAGTTTTCCTCTTTGCTCTTTTCCACTAACTGACTCACATGCACATTTACAATTAAAATGTCCAATCCGAGACAGCAGGACTTACAACCAGTTCTCTGCATCCAAGAGAGAGCCTCAGAGGCTGAACAGTAATTTGTTGGGATGTTTTAATCCTGTACTATTGGCATTAGGTTTGGTGGCCCAAATGGCCCCTTCTGGGATGAGAACTATGAAGGCCATCCTAAGCTCCTTGGGAGAAATGCAATGAAATAAAAATTATAGTAAGCAGCTACGGTCCATAAATATATATGTATGTATAAACATTGTCTATGTTTTCAAATTGAACTTTAAACATTTGCGCCCAAGAAACAGATTCTTCTTTTTCTCTGTGTACCACTGCTACGATTCATGTGTGTTTGTTTTGAAAATCTCCCATTTCCCACATTTTTTTCACCAAAGAAATGCAGTACTATGACTATTCAAAACTTAAATGCAGTTATAATTTTAAAATTAGTATGGTTTCTTAATTGCGCTTCTTGAACTAGAAATGTAATGTTTAATTTTTAATTATTTTTTTTAATTTATAACTTCTTTTCCAGGTCTCTGGAGCAAACTCATCTTGAAGTTGGTCAGCCGATATGGAAACCATTGACATTCCAAAACAATATCTATTTCTCTCTTTCTCTTTCTCTAGCTCTCTCTCTATATATATATCTATATTATTTAAAAAGCAGCCAAAATCAGAGAAAAGGAACAGGGATTTAATACTTTTTTAATGATTATTTTTGTGAAACATGTACTCTTTTCATACGGGTGGCTTTTACAAGCAACTTTTATCATTGTTCCATTTAAAAAAATATATATCATTGTGATTCATGGTGATGTTATGATTGTAAACCGATAGAGATTTCAAAATTTGGAGGAGAATTCCACAATATTGAAAAATAATAATGCAAGATTTTCAGATTTGGAATAATATACATAGGTCAAATAATTTCCCCACATTTTTATTTTTAATTAACATAACACTTTAGAATTCAGTGAGTAGTAATGACTGTTCTGGGAGGAAGAATCCTTTGTTAGATTTTTTTTTTTTATTAATTAGACTCAGAATGATTAATACCTTAATCATGTTGGATTTTATTGCTTCTTTGCAATGGAATAAAACAGGATCAAGTAAGTTTAGCATATTCAGATTTTTTTTGTATTATATAATTTAAGACTTTTTTTAAAAAAAAAAAACCAATCCAACTCCTCAGGTATTAAGATATTGAGACAGCCCCTGAATCTGTGAAGGACAAACTAAAGATGTATGAGGAAGAATGAGTTTAATATGCAACTTCCGTCCTGTGTTATCTTATTTTTCCTGTTAGGTTTAATCTTGTCCTTTGCACATTGTTTTTTTCTTTGAACTAAGCAGATTCTTCACTTAAACAATTTAATAACAACATTCTGATGCTCAGCCTTAGATATGCTCCATTGTTGTTCATTCATAACAATATGGAAAGATTTTAAGAGTAGAGATAAACTGTACTACTATACAAAAAATAAGTACTGTAAGTTGCTTGTGCTTTTTTGTTTTGTTTTGTTACTGTTGACCCCCATATCTGGGACATATTTCATTATACATTTGGTAATTTAGTGGAGTATAGTAGGAAAGAGCACATAAACATCTTTTTGAAATGTCATTGTCTTAGTATATAATGTAGGTCTTAAAGTAGTCTCTGTATATTCATGATCATGGGACCTGAGAGCCACATGAATAGTTCAGAAACTTCCAGAAAGCAATATTTCTCTCCCATTCCATCTTCCCTCATTTTTAGAATACATTTTTGTAATTGTTTTAGTAGCATGCTAAATACTGAGACGTGTATCCCTCTTGTAGTGGGATGTGAAGAATATGAGAACTTCATGGGTATGTGGAAAGTGATTAATGTTCTTTTGTGCCAAACCAAGATTTGTTTGGATGGTAGCATTATTGTTATGAGTTTATTTGAAAATTGATAAGTATCTTTTCAGTCTTTGGTACCAAGAATGCTGCAAACATAGAACTCTTACATTGAATCTTGATCTTAAATTGATATTGTTGGCCTTTTTATCTCTTTTTCCTGTTAGCATAGTATCTTAAACTTGTGGAGGGACAGTCCATCCATTCAGTCAGATGAAAAATAGATAATAAACTATTCAAAAGATATTTAATGACAAATTTATATGAGGAGATTCTATTGGGGATGTTTCTCTTTAAAGAAACCTATCAACAAAATTTCTTCTCTGTTATTTCATTTGTCTTAGTAAGTTACCAAATTTTTCTCCTCTGAGAAATAGATATTTCTTTTTCTTTTGCAGTCCCTCTTTTTATTCAGTTTAACCAATGCCTCTTATCCTCTACCCCCTTCCCAGTTTCATAAAGTAATGGTCAGATAACCTGGATCCTAATATATCATTTTATTCTTTCATCAGCTCTTATCCCTACCCCTTACCTCAAACTACTTGACTATAGTAGATGTTTTCCTTATCTTGAAATTTGACTAGGAGAAAGTAGAAAAATAAGCACAGATAGGAAAATAATTCAGCAACTTTTCCTATCAATCTGCTGTACTTTAAATCTCCATTTACCTTTCTGCACAACTCTCATTCAACAACAACAATATTTTAGTTGTTTGCTGTTGTATCCAATTTATCTCATATTTGACTGGAAACATGTGGAAGTCTCTTTTAAGTTTTTTGATATAAAGATGCTTAGGACCCTCAGGATACTCTCATATTAAGCGTGCATTCTGAAAGCACATCTTGGTTTTCCTGTGATCATGTTGGTTTCTGGATAGAAATATGAGAAGGCATTCGGTACTATGTCAGATATTTGAATGATTGATCTGTAACAGAAATTGATTTTGAAACATTTTTGGGAGTAGATTTTCTTCATGCCCCAATTTCTTGAAGTTTTTACCTTTTAATCGTTGAGATAATTTTCTTCCTTTTTTATCAATAGCCTTTCACTTTTAGGGTATTGCTTACTTCTGATATATTCTGAAGGCTTGATCCATGTCTCTCATTCATTAGAAGGTCGACTCTTATTCTAGATCAGCTTTCTACGGATGTTCTAAGATACAGTATAGTCCTTGAGATAATCAACTTTTATGTTAGTCAAGTTATAACTTTGTAAGTAATTAAGGAAGCAATTGAGAAAACTGGCTGCTTCTTTTGCATGGGATACATAACCAGGAGACAGGCTAGTAAGATTATTCCTGATCATCTCACCAAAAATCATACACCGAAAGCTAGCACGATTGGACCAGGACAGCTATTTTAGATCTTTAGGGTGCAGGATAATATTCTCATGGGGAAACATCCTGCAGTTTGAAGTAATAGCCAGGAATATGTTTCTGCTTCTGGTTTTTTGTATTAGATCAAGCCAAAAGCATGATTGGTAAACCTTGCTTTCCAGAAGGTTCCAGAGTTTGACAAGGCTCCATCCCTATTAATATGAATAGCCAGAGACCTCTGGAAGAACTTCATTGCCTGTTGGTAGCTTTCATTTATCAAGTAATCAGTTTTGTGTGTTAAATTCCTTTCTTCATTCTGAAATTTACTATGTAATGAATGCTAATATTTCTCTGTTTGGCTTGATGTAACGATAAATGCTTATAGTGTAACTGCAGAGAATAATTTCATGATCTGTTTTATGCTATATATTCTTTTGTTACAATTTTTTAAAGAAACTATTTTTGTTAATATAAAAGTAAATATTTCAGAGTAAAATTTTTAAACTTTATTGCACTAAATGCAGATGTGGCAAGAAAAAAAGGAATCCTCAGTAGTTGAATCACTCCAGAGAATCTTTTGGGAGACGAGCTATTGCTCTAGGTAAGCTTAGCTAACGGTTATGAAAATGGGTGTAGAGACAAGGTGACTGGCTACCAGTGTTTTTATATATGGCTGTTATGATTCTGTGCTTCCTTTCAAAGGATGAGACCTTTTAAAACTGCTGCTGAATGAAACATAGCATTGTGTAATTAACTGGTGGTCTTTGCTGTGTAACTAAATGCTTCAGTTAATTTTTATAAATCACGTGACATCTCAATCTTTTCAGACTACTTGCAATAAAATTCAGGACAGTTTAAAAGAAGAAGAATCTTTTCTCCGTCAGTCACATAATCCAATTATGAAACTATAAGTTTAGCAAACTAGATTAACCTCCGTTCCTGCTAACATGCTGATTTTACCAATGTGAATTATGCCATGAAATTTTATTTTAAGGTAGCTGATACAAATCAAGGTTTCAAATGCACGTCTTAGCAGGAACCAAGGTACTAGTCTAGGCTTAAACTAGAGCACTGCTTTAAATCTCTTTTAATGTAAATATTACATGTTACTGTAATGATATTTGGAGAAGAACTATGAGGAGGAGCCTTAATATACAGGAGGAAGTTTTGTAGCTTTGCCCTGGCACTTAACTTCAGATGTGTAGATTGTTTAAGTCACTGAAGTGATACTTATTGTGAAAGAAATCTGGACTTAGCAGATTGAAAACCACAGCAATTGGACGGCAAACAGAAAAGGAACGGCAAGACACTTAAGTAGCTCCTCCAGGGTTAACTGCCATTGAGTTTTACTTCAACAATGACTCAAGATAGGAGACCTGGCCTAGACTCACCACTGACATCATCACAATTCCTGCATTCCAGGCTCCACAAACTTGTGTTCCCTGCTTGCTGAAAGCCTTGAGAAAAGAGATGCTTTGGGGTTTGAACTTGCAACTAGAATTGTAAAGAGAAACAATTTTTTGTATTTTTGTATACCTTGATTGTGCAGCATTTTTATATACAGGTCCTGTTTTACAAATAAAATTGGTTTCTTAACCTGGTGTTTAAAAAGTTTTATGGATATTACTTCCCTTAGGAGCTGAGATCTTCAAAATGAACATGTCCTCTATTTTCAGGCAGAAAGGTACATTTCAGGCTGGTAGCACCTGGAGACATCTGAGATATTTTATCAAGCATGAAATGGCACCCGACAGGTCAAATTACTTGCTTAAGCAGTGATATATTTAGGCAGCACTCGGTAAAAAAAAATAGAGTTACCCTCTGGTAAGATGGGCAGCCAAGAATTTTTACAAATAAATAATTGCAAATGGGGTTGTTTTTAAGAAGATCCAACCTAGTAGTTTTGCAAAGCGCAAGGATGCTTCTAACATTTTAATATTAACCAAGAAGTAGCAAGATTTTCCTCCAAACTACTTTTTTCTTGAAATGTACATTTTCTCATTTGGAATAAGGCCATTTATGAATCTCATAAATTCATTAATAAAATTATTTCCCAGCTGAGTACATCACTAGCTCTAATCAGTTACAATTCCATTAATTCTGTTTAGTCTTCCATAAGACTAATGGAACATGATTTTATGATGACATGCTAGGGCAATTGAGCAGCAAAAATTAATTTTCATGCATGTCCTGAAAATGTTCTGTCCCCTATTTTTTTTTTCAATTGGATTCTTAATTCTTGCAATATAACTATTTAACTGGTGATACCAAAAGAGATGGTGTATATGATTTTTGTAATTCAGAAATCATTTAATGAAGTATTTTACTTTTAAATTTTCAATATTCTCAGTTAAACATTCAGTTTTACTTAATCATGATATTAAGGAACTCTAATTCCTTGGCTTATTTCTTT